ACTTGGTGCAGGCTGTAGATTACAAAACAGCAGTTGAGAACACACTGAAAAGTTACCGAAGTAACAAGAAAGCACATGAGGTCTATGACAAGACCAAGGCCCTGTGCAATGATCTTGATATTCCCGAAACTGTGACACAGAGGAAGAAGCGTAGAAACATGGAAGACTTTGTAGTCGAGGCATCATGTGGAGCAATGTGAAACATTAAACATAAATAAACTGGTGTACAAAACTCACATACCTGCATTTCAATGGACAGCATAAAAGGACACGTGAGCTGGGTTCTGGTGCTCAGATTAGCTATTGATGATCACGTTGATAAATCATATAAAACAAATAGCCAATCACACAAAAAACATGTTGCTGTGACTGTGAGCATTAAACAATTAATATTAAACTAAACAAACACAACAGTACGTTATTGTCCTTATAAAATAAAAACATACATTTTGTCCACCGAGATAATACAGGCACCTTACCCTCAAGTGATCCTCAGGTGCTATGAGAATCTCCCACAATGCATTGCCGTAACAAAGCTAATGCAGGCACACGTTTGTGACACCAGATGGCGCAATTGTGTATGTGAAATTGTAGAAATGTAGAAAATTCGACTGTAGCGCCGCCACTGTGGGCTAAGCCCCGAATGTTTCCAGGTCCAGGCGACGCCCCTGGTGCCAATACCAGGAAGATCCCACAGTGTAACATTAGGATAGTTTGGATGGGGGAATGGTTTGACTTCCATGGTGGTTTCTGTACAACCAGTAGGGGCGGCTTCAGCACTCTTATCCTTCTTCTCTAAAGGCGTTAACAAAGGTGGATTTACCAGAGCCAGTCTCTCCTGTGATGGCAATGTTTAGTGGAATTGTATCCTGCTCTTTCAAATAAGCCTTGATCTTTTCAACTGCTGCGGCAGGTCCATTGGTTTGCAGCTCTTCTTTAAATTGCTCTAGAATTGTTAATACTTTATCAGATGGATCCTCCATAGCACTCCTTAAAATATAAGAAAAACATTGTACTCTTGTGATTTGGGGAATTGCACCATATATAGGCAGACCTACATCTAATCATACAAATAATATATGACATAAATAAAAAGCACATACAAAGTGGGGAGATTGCAGTTACATACCTATTTTCAGTGCTGGAATTGGGCCGGTACTCACCGGTACGCAGTACCGGCACTTCTGGTTCTGACCCATGGAGTACCGGCACTTCTTGCTCAGTACCGGCATGCTGGCGGTACTCCGGTACTCATGCACCGTGCCAGTACTCAACACTCTCCCGCCGTTCTTATTATACATCCATATATATATATACAGCCGCCCGGTACTCAGTAGATGCGTCATGAGGTGCCGAACGGACATTCTCATCGCTCTAACCGCTGGAGTTTCACAGCGGCTGTCAGCTGTTTACTCCTGTCATTCAAACAGAACGTGCTGGAGAGGGGGCGGGGCTTATCTTCTCCATGTAAATACTGTGGTGGAAACGACTATGTCAAAATTAACCTATTTGACCGTAATTTAATAGTAATACACGTTTCAAAATAATAATAATAATAATAATGCCGAAGTAACAACATGCTGAAAACTGTTAGTAAAACCATGTTTTAATGCTTTACAATTTACATACCTAGATGCACGTGTGTTGTGTTTATGCAGTGCAACTCCCACCCAGTGGGTGGCTATGTAGAGTGATAGAACAGAGCAGGCACGCCCCCGAGAGAAGGAAAGCAAGTCACGTCACAAATTAGCATTTCTAAAATGTTAGCGTGGATTAATAAAAGTGCAAAAAGACAGCGGTTGTCGCCGGAAGAAACTTCAAATACAGAGAATGCTGTGCCTGTGTTGGAAATTGTGTCTGATGGGGAGCTTTCTTTGGTTGATCCTCCTGCTCCAAGTTCTAGTGCATTAGCATTAGCACTAGCTCCGCCGCCTCCTCCAGAGCCTCTAACGTTAGCTGCTGCTGGCGCAACTGCCACCACCAACACCGGGCAAAGCGATGCACCTGACTGCTGGACAACGGACCAGGTGCAATATTTTGCAAGACCAATGCATGGCTCCTTCTTAAAGATAAGAAGCTAGGATGTCGGATATGCAGAGATGTCAAATCTTTGGGAATACACACTGGACAAGGACTGAAACTGTCAACTGAATGGGGTGAGTGTGCAGTGTCTCATTTCGGTGTTGACAAGGGCAAACAACAAGCTAGCCTGAGAAAAAAAATCAAAGAACATAAAGAATCACAAGCCCATGTAAAAGCTGCTGACATCCTTACAGCTGCTTCACGTGAAACTATTCAACATCAAGTGCAGTCTATGCATAAATCTGAATTAGACACCACTATCAGAGTTTTTCGAACGGCATATAAAATTGGCAAACATAGCCGGCCATTCACAGACATGCCAATTGATTTGAATGTACAGAAACTGAATGGGCTGAACGTGGGCAGGGTTTTGCACTCCAATAAAACCTGTGGCGAAATCATCTACCACATAGCTCATGAGCTGAAGAAAAAAATGGCAAAAGACATTACAGAAAAGCAAAGAAAACTCTGTGTTTTGGTCGATGAATCTACCACTATTAGTGGTAAAACGGTGCTTGTTGTGTGTCTACGCTCAGCATTAGCTGATGCTGAGCCCGAAACGTTTTTTTTGGGAGCTGATCGAGTTGGATGGAACAACGGCTGATGACATCACAAAGGCGTTAATGGAGTGTCTTGGAAGAGATTTTAACGAGGACTTTTTAGGTCAGTGTTTCGTTTCTTTTGCATGTGATGGGGCTTCAGTCATGCTAGGGAAGAGAACAGTTGTGTAGTAAATTCCCAAGCCTGTTTGTGTGGCACTGCTCCAATCATCGTCTAGAGCTGGCAGTTGGGGATGTGGTCAAGGAGGTCTCAGGGCTCAATCATTTCCAGATATTTTTTGACAAACTCTATTCCTTGTTCCATGCCTCCCCCAAAAATCAGAGGCAGTTAGCGCAGTGTGCGCAAGCAGTCGGACAGCGTCTCCTGGTGATAGGGCGTGTTTTGTCCATCCGCTGGGTGGCTTCAAGTGAAAGGAGCGTCAGAGCAGTCTGGGAAAACTACCGAGTGCTTCATGATCACTTCACAAATGCTGCAAATGACACGAGCAGGGATTCCAGAGACAGAGCAAAGTACAAGGGCCTGGATGATGTGCTCACATCTGCAACGTTTGTCAGCAATCTGGGACTGATGTACGATGCGCTCACAGAGCTCAGCGACCTCTCTCGGCAACTCCAAAAAAGAGAGATGACACTGCCTACAGCAGATAGGCTCTTAACTCGAGAAATACGAGTTTTTGAATCCATGGTCACCATGCCTGGCCCACACATGACTACAGTTCATACAGCTCTAGCTGAGAAGTCCTTCAAGGGTGTTGCCCTGCGTGAGAATGGCAGGCTTGTACAGATTCATGCAGGTCAGTTTTTCCACAGTATGGTAGAGAATCTGAGACACAGAATGACTTCCACAACCTCCTCTCATGTCAGCACAAGAGAAATCCCATTACATGGCCGGGAGGCCCGGGACAATCAGCTAATCCAGGACATGAAAGTTATCCATCCTGGAAGTTGGCCTGAAGAGGAGTTAGACGTACTGTATGGGGACGTAGAGGTGCTACGTTTGTGCGAAGTGCTGAAAGTGGACAGAAGAGAGACTGTTCAGGGCTTTCGCGAATACAAGGAAACCAGGGCATCCCGTACACCTGCTGCCATGGAGCCTCTACTGAAAGCAGTCCGAACCATCGCTGTCTCCACTAGTGAGTGTGAGCGGGCATTCAGCTGCATGAACGATATCCTTACTGCAAAAAGGAATGCTCTCTCTGTCAGCCGACTGTCCAGCCTGGTTTTCATTAATGTAATGGACCATCACTAGGACAGTTCAATCCGGAACAGTATGTGAGGTCCTGGCTGGCAAAGGGAAGGAGAAGTGCTGATGAAAGAGCCTGTCCAGCTCCAGCCCCTGATACTGATGTCCCCAAGGCCTTCTGGAGCCTTTTCTAACAATGTGAAGTATATTGCAAAGCAGCTCACCCAGTGAGAAGACTTTTGGCATAATGTGCCGATTTGTACAGATCCTGGAGATAGAAGGACTTCAGACCAACCAGGGAGTTATCTGATCAGCTTGGTGTTCAATGTAACTCTTTACCATGGCTCAGACTTTGTTACTTGCAGTTACAGTTTCTCATTTTAGATTGTGCACATTTTGCATTTGTTTTTACATGTTCTTTGTTCATGCTCTTTATCATTTTTCTGAGTTGGAAAGTTAGATTGCATCATAGTTTACTTTATACATATTTGTATTCTTCAGTGGTGAAGTATATTGCAAAGCAGCTCAGCCATGTGAGAAGACTTTTGGCACTTTTTCGTTTTTCGTTTTCTGAGTTGGAAAGTTAGATTGCATTCAAAATGTACAGAAATACTTAATTTTGTTAAAGCTTTTTATAAAAAATGCTTCTGACCAGAGCTTTGTTTCCTTGTCATTAATGTTGAACACCACCAGAGGGGCTCTCACCTGAAAGGTCTCTGCTTCATGTGTCTTCAGCAGAAGATCTAGACTTTGATTGCTATATTTTCAGTTAATATTGACCTTACTGAGCTTTAGCCATATCCGCTGACTATCATAAAAAATTTTAAGTACAGTGAACCTTTCTAAAATATACAGTAGTAAAGAGACAAACCCACCAGCATTATAGTAGCCAAATTCTTGTTTGTGGGCTGTATATATAAAATTGACTTGAAAAAGTTGCTGATTTTAGAGTACTGGCACCTTTTTCATTCCAATTCAAGCACTGCCTATTTTGCAAACAATTCTAAAAACAAACTTAAACTACATTACATTACATTGCATTTAGCTGACGCTTTTATCCAAAGCGACTTACAATAAGTACATTCGACCAGGAAGACACAACCTTGAAGAAAACAGAATCATATAAGTACATCAGGTTTCATAGATGAATACGACGTGATCTTTCTGTCTTACAAGATGGCTGATGGTGTGTGTTATGGCTCGGTAGCTCCCGATTCAAACCACCGGCCTCGACTAAAACCTACAATATATAAGACTGTTGACGGCCTAGTTATTGTAGAGGATGAGTTACTCAACTTCCTGGCGGTTAAAATTAAAACTATGACCCAGGACGAGCTAGTCCTTGTAGCCTCTAACACCTTCGATTCCGAATGGATCGAGACTTCTAAAAAGACGTTGTTTGAACTCTGTCCTGAAACCAAGCAGCGGTGTGTGGCCTTTAAAGGCAACCAGAAGGATGCAAACAATATTAAAAGCTGCCTAAAAGTGCTAAATGAATGCGGTGAAAACATCCCCCGTTTTGTCTCCCACTACCTGGATGAGCTGCCGCCTGTTACGTTTAACAACCTGGATGTGTCCAACCTGCTGAGCAAGATGGAGCGACTGCACAGCGAGGTTTGCGCATTAAGACACGTAGTGGAAGTTCAGGCAGATATCGGTGAGGACCTGCGTGCTGTGGCTGCGACCATGGACAGCAGAGTTGCTGCCGTAGAACGCCAGTTGGAGCCGAGTCATGGTGGAGGACTGGCTGTACCAAGTGACGCTGAAACTACCTGTGGGAGCGCTCAGGGTAATGGTGCGGTGTTGGTGAAGGATGCGAGCCCCCCCGGCTCTTCTACTGATGTAGTACATCCCAACTGTGTTGACCCGCTCGCTGCGTCAGGGACCGTGAGTGCCTGTGTGAGCCCTGGAGGAACTGCGGTAAATTCGCAGGTATGGAGTCAAGTTGTGAAACAGGGCCGAGGTCGGAGGAATAGGGCCGAGGCAGGGTCGGCGTCATGGGGGGTCATTCGCGGGCCATGCCCCCCCAAATGAGTCACTGTGCCCCCCCAACGAGCCTTATTGCCAATTTGCCGTTTAAAAAAAAAAAAAAATCATATAAGTTAAAACGTTTCCACCAAAAGTTTTTTGTGTGAAATACATCAGAAATAAAGAATACACATTTGTATTCTTTATTTATTCTTTATATGAAACACAGCCTGAGGTGTGCTCACTGCTGCTCTCTGATTGGTGTGTTGCTTGACCAATGACCCCGACTTTTGTTTTGTTATCATTACGTGGCTGTGTGTTTAGATGAAAGCCCAGTGGCGATCTGTCCATCTGTTACACTGATTACAGTAAAGCCATCGAAAATAATATGATATACAGTACAGTACAAGTACATGGGTCTCTGTGTTTCATTCAAGCTCGGCTCTCTGTGTGTGGCACGAGCGCATTTTGTCAGTGCGCGAGCGGTAACGTGGAATATTGTTGTTAGCATCTGGTTAGCTAGCTATGCTAACGGATATAAAGAGCTGTTTCTACACCAAGGTGGAGGAGAGTCCTCTCCTGTCAGACTGAGAGGATCTTATAACGTCAGCTCAGTGAGGTAAGGACTCTCTCAGTGTTTAGATAGTTCACTTTAGTGTAGGTTATCTCAGTGGGTCTCAAACGGTTTGGTCACCATTTATGTAAACAAGTATTTGCGAGGAATAGGCTACCTTTATATGATCATTATAGTTATTAAAGAATAAGAGAATAAATGAAAAACGGGTATGAAATACTATAGGACAATAACACAAGAATACCATTTAAAAGGGGAGTGATTAGTAAAATATCCATAAAGAAAAAGTAAATCTGTTTACAGTTGTGTTTCATATGGATGTTGAGAGATGTAGACTATCCATAGATCTCTTCATTTTGCTCTCAAAGTGCACCAGATTGATGCTTTTAACTTCAATATTTTAAAAATAATCTTCCCGGGGGAGCTTGCCCCCAGACCCTCCTAGAGGAGGTTAGGTCCACCCCCCACCTAAAACATGTTCACATGGATAGGATACTAAATACATTTGCACACTTTTCATATGGTGGCCTATGTCCATATGTTTCTGTTTTGGTGATCGTGCCACAGCCGTGCATGTATGCACAAGTCATAGGTGCGCTATACAATAGCACTACACCCTGCAATGTGTGTGAAAGACAATAGACTTTACAGAATGTTTTTTTAAATTGAAGTTGCGTTGGTGTTTGTGTGTTGGTTGTTGACGGCAGTGTGTGCCCCCCCTTGGTAAATGATTGCCCCCCCATTTGATTTGTTCTAGAGCCGACCCTGGGCCGAGGGCCAGTCTGCCTTATCTAAACAGCTTGTTGGGAAACCTGAACGGAGGATGCCTAAGCCTATTGTTGGCACTGCTGCACAAGGGAATATCAAAGTGATCCGTACGAAGTTGGTGAGTGTTTTTGCTACCAAATTCTCGCCAGACCTTGATGCTGAGACACTGTCCGAATATCTAACTGAACAACTCGGCCGTGATGTTAACTGTCACCGTATTGACACTGCAAGCAGCAGATATAGCTCGTTTAAAGTGTGTGCTGAGTGCAATGAAGTTGCGGAGATGTTTAACCCAGAACTCTGGCCTGAAGGCTCAGTTGTGAGAAGATACTATGAACCACGTAAAGCGGAGGTGATAGGGGCTAGCAGAGCTAGACCTTTTGCTGGTGCGAGGGTACTGAATGGGGCTACGGCTGAGCTGCTTAGCTAAACGTTATGCGGGTTGGATCATTTAACTGTCGCGGGCTGCGCCTGGGCAACAGCGCTGCTGATAGGATCCGACGTGTAGTGGTGGACAACTGAAGCTGGACACTGTCATTAATGTCATCAGGCTTGAAGTTGACTGGTGTATTGCTGTACAGATCAAAATGAATAACAAGGAGTTTAGCATTCTCAATGTATATACACCATATGAGTCACAGCATAATGAAGATGAATACCTGAACAGACTTGCTTTTATACATTCTTTTATTGCTGATAATCATTCCACCAGTGTTTTTGTAGTGGGTGATATGAATGCTGACATATCAGACAAAAGGTCCTTGTTTGCTAAGCATATGCTACAGTTTTGTGATGATAACAATCTTATATTATCAAGCCAAATACTTCTGCCTACAGATAGCTATTCATATATAAGCGAGGCCTGGCATACAACTTCATGGCTTGACCATTGCATAAGCACTGCTAATGCCCATGACACTGTAAGATCAATCGAGATTGTGTATGAGGCATCAATGTCAGATCACATTCCTTTTATAATGTCACTAGATTGTGATAGTCTCCCTGAGATGTCTCAGGAGGTTAAAAATGCCTGTAACACTAAAGTGGATTGGTCCAAGCTCACAAATGAGGATAGGCTATTGTACTATGGGAGAACTGATGTCCTATTGAGTGATGTATATCTACCCAAAGTGGCAACTCTGTGTGTTGATGTGGGTTGTAATGAAAACTCTCACCGTGAAGACCTCTGTAACATGTATGATTGTATTGTGGGAGCTGTATGGGAGGCCAGTAGACCGTGCTGTACCTACTCTAGGAAGAGACACAACGTCAAGCCAGGGTGGAATAAACATGTGGCTGATCAATATGCTGAAGCCAAGAATGCTTTTGGGGCCTGGGTCCAGGCAGGTAGGCCCAGAGAGGGGCCTGTCCTGGATCTCAAAAAGCGTACAAATGCTAGATATAAATATGCAGTTCGTTATGTCAACAAACACACAGAAACATTGAGAGCGGACTCTATGGCTGAAAAGCTGCTTCATAATGATGTGACTGGCTTCTGGAAGGAGGTGAGAGCTCTGAACAGGGCCAGTACGTCATTACCGTGTACCATAGAGGGAGTATCTGGAGCCGATAACATAGCTGAGTTGTGGAGGCAACATTACTCTAATATACTTAATTGTGTTAAAAGTGACCCCTACAAAGTTGGTGATGTTGTGAAGAGTGACACAGTGGGAATTACAGCTAAAGAGGTTTATCGAGCAATTGCACAGCTAGCTGATAATAAAGCATGCGGCTCTGACCGAATCACTGCAGAGCACCTTAAACTGGCAAGCCCGAAGGTTGCCGTTCTTCTTGCCATTTGTTTTACCGGCCTCATGACTCATGGTATGTTGCCAGACTCCATGTTGACTGTTACTTTGGTGCCTGTCATTAAGGACAAAGCGGGCAAGGTAGGGAGCTTGGATAACTATAGACCAATTGCTCTAGCCAGTGTGTTATCCAAAGTCTTGGAAAGAATTTTGTTAGATAGACTATGTTCATATTTATGTACCTCAGATAACCAGTTTGGCTTCAAGGCTAAGCATGGTACTGAGCTATGCATCTATGCTTTGAAAGAAATGGTAGAAACATATAGAAGACATAATTCAACTGTTCTGATTGGTTTCATTGATGCCTCTAAGGCTTTTGACCGAGTTAACCATCATAAACTGTTTTTAAAATTGAGACAAAGGGGTGTGCCTAACAGTATAATTAGGATCCTGGCTTATTGGTATGCCAACCAGAGCATGCGGATCAAATGGGGGAATGCAGTCTCTGCGCCATTTGGTGTTGGTAATGGAGTCCGCCAGGGGGGGCTCCTCTCACCATGCCTTTTTAATATCTATATGAATGATCTATCAGATGATTTAAGTGTCTGTAAAACAGGGTGTGTGATTGGTAATGTGATTGTAAACCATCTTATGTATGCCGATGATCTGGCTATTGTTTCTCCTAGCAGTGCTGGTTTTCAACAGTTGCTAAATGTTTGTTCTGATTACGGAGTCAAATTTGACGTTAAATACAATGCTAAGAAGAGCGCTGTAATGATCTGCAGAGCAAAAGGGGATAAGAACCTTTGTTTTCCAACATTCTACCTGTCAGGACAGGTGCTGTCTGTTTGCTGTAACACTAAGTATCTGGGACACATCATCACAGATGAAATGGCTGATGATGATGACATGTATAGACAGCGGCGTGTCTTATATATGCAAGCCAACATGTTGGCTAGAAAACTCTCTTGGTGTTCAGATAAGGTTAAGGTGAACCTCTTTAGAGCTTATTGCACTCCTCTCTATACTGCCCCCTTGTGGGTCAAGTATAAGAAGGCAAGCCTCAAGAAGCTCCAGGTTGCATATAATGACTGTTTGCGTATACTGCTTAGAAAACCAAGGTGGTGCAGTGCAAGTGAAATGTTCTGTAACGCACGAGTCAACACGTTCCATGCTCTTTTGAGAAATCGAATGTACAAATTCATCTGTCGATTGAATGTTTCTCATAACTCTATCATTATGCTGCTGTCAAATCCGTGTTTCAGTGCTGTACGATACCAGTCACCTCTGTGGAAACATTGGTATAACTGCCTTTTTTAATTTATATTTGAGTGTTGTATGTTTTTGTAATAATGGACCAAGAGTCTCTTTAAATAAAAGATGATGATGATGATAGAGCCAAACATTTCAAGTGCTACTCAACTGGCTATAGATAAGCCAATCCTTTATTAGTATATAAGTGCTCTGTTAGTAATTCTATCGCTCGAAGTGGAGTCGAAAGAGATGAGTTTTCAGTCTGCGCCGGAAGATGTGTAAGCTATCTGCTGTCCTGATGTCAATGGGGAGCTCATTCCACCATCTTGGAGCCAGGACAGCAAACCCACGTGTTTTTGCTGATTGACATTAACCCTAAAACATTTATATAGTGCTGTTAATAACAATGTAGGTTAATTAAACTGTGGAAGAAACAAAAGAGCATTTTCTTAATTTATTGTGAAGGCATGGATTTTATTGAAATGTCCTGTTGTTAAAATTGGCTATTCAAAAGCTATTTTTAGAGACTAACCTAACAGGTTTGTTAACATACTCCCAGGTGAATGTGCAGAACTTAAAGGGTGCAGTTCTGTAATAAATACACCCCTCCTAGCTATTTAGCATTAGTAATCATCATGGGCCATACAGAAAAGAAGAGTGTGTTTATTTTAGAACTGCACCTTTCAGTTCTGCACTTTCATTAATTCAGACATTCTGTATCTCCAAACACGGCTAAATTGTCTCATACATTTAAACGTTATTGAGTTTGTTAGCAAACGTTATATGTCAGTTTTAATCTTTTCTTTCAGTTTCTCCAGTCTCACCTTTTTTACGCAGCCTGCAAGGTTATATAACAAGCAGGAGGACACCGTTGTTTCTGTATCAAGCATTTTTAGGAAACATCTCTATCTAGAGCTACTTACATTAGCATGACTTTCCAATGTACACTGAGATTTTTATCAATGTTCTGAAGACAGAAAAGCCAAATTATTCTGAATCAGAACCAGAATCAGAAATAGGTTTATTACCAGGTATGTTTACACGTACAAGGAATTTGACTTGGTGTCGTGGTGCATGCATACAAAATTAAATATTAGAAATAATTAAAGATCTAGTCAAATCTAGCAGTATTTACAAAAGAATAGAATGGAATAAAAAGGAATCAAATATGGAATACATTTTGACAGTAATAGAAAAAAGACATTGTGTGCATTAATGTACTTCAGTCTATGATGTGGCTGAGGGTCAGTGTCGGTGGGGGGGCCAGGCCTTGTTGATGAGGCCGGTAGCGGAGGGGAAGAAACCGTTCAGGTGGCGAGAGGTTTTGGTCCTAATGGAGCGCAGCCTCCTGCCAGAGGGGAGGGGGGTGAACAGTTTGTGACCAGAGAGGGGTCGGCCTTAATCCTGTGATCCTTGTTTCCTTGGGAACCGGGATGATGTCTGGATGTCTCCAGCGAGGTGTTGAAGATGTCGGTAAACACCGGAGACAGCTGATCAGCACAATGCTTCAGGGTGGAGGGGGAGACATTGTCAGGCCAGGCGACGCCACTGGTGAACATTAATAGAATATCACCTCCCATCTTCAGGGCAATCTGACTATTATAACATTAGCGTTAAGAAAGCTTAATTAAATATCTGCCACAACATAAGTAACCGGATCAGAGTGACATTAAGTACAGTCCGCGGCATATCACTTCATAATGTATCATATATTTCCTTATCTGAGTCAGCTGAGCCGTATCTGGCCATGCAACACTCACAGTGTCACATACTGTATGCAGAAGTATTATTTTAAGCAAAACATTAAGTTGACGAAACACTCGAGTCAAATGTAATTTAAAGTCAGATCGTGTCTTAGATGGGGCAGTGATATCATAAACCTGTTAATGTACGCATTCAAACACTTTTTCTTTTGCCAGCTGTATTCACCTTGCAGGTGCAGACTATGTGGCTTTTATCCTGGATAAAGTGTTTAAGTCATGGATGTTTAAAGTTTAACTTCTTCATATGTCTAATATTATAGTTGACTTTTCATTCAGGAAGTATGACGCTGCGCTGTCAGTATGCTTCTCCATGTTTGTGGTTGGTCGAATGCTCCAAATACCACCACTTTCAT